TATGGCATGTATTACATGAAGGGACCGACAGACAAAACAGGCGTAGTATCTAGACCAATTCAGAAATTGAAATGAGCCTCTGAAGTTTCCTTCTGGGTGTTGCGAACCTTTCAACAAAATAGATATGCAGAAACCTCTCGGTGTCGAGTATAAAAATAGATAGCAAACGCAAGTGATGATTAATTTTTGAATGTATGTAAGTACAGAAATTTATACATACAAATATTTCAATAATAAGTCGCTTTCGCGCGCGTTACTATACTTACACGTAACCAACTACTATAGGTAGCAACGTTAGCTAACGTAGTACTGACTGAGTAGTTGTTGTTATGGTAAAAGTTTATTGACTTTTTACCCCTTTATTGATTTTCTTAACGCTAGACACGCAGACGGACAATTGTGAATTATTTCATAAGAATTTATAAATATTTAATTTACTGTATTTACGGAAGCAATATATAGAATTTTAAACGTACAAAAGTACAAAGAAACGAAGAAGAAAGTTCAGAAAAAAAAAACGTAAATTAAAAAAAAATAAGGAAAATAAAATAAACACTGGTTGTAAATAATCTTTAGAGGTGAAATTTTCGAGATAAGCGTTTTTTTTTATGAAAATTTTATAATGAACATAAATTTTTGAACTATTTTAGTACAAAAGACATTTCTATTAAAAATATATTTACAATTTACGGAAATAAAAATTCTATAAAATGAAATGAAAGAAAAAAGAAATAAAATTTGAGTCTTTGGCTCTTTTTTTACAAGTGTTTGATTATTATTAAAAAAAAAAAAAAAAAAAAATGCAGCATACTTTTGGGCTTTATGTATTTTTCTTTACACTAAGCATTCTACAGGAAACTTTGTTTCACTGTGCAACTATTTGATATTCGAAATTCTTATAAGAGTAAATTGGTGTAAAAATTATACCAGAGAGAAGTAGATATGCAGAGTCGTAATCATAATGTTTAACACTAGACCAGCCGAGTACGTTATTTTGATTTTGCTTAATTTTCGATCATCAAGAAAAAACCATTATAAAGCATGTAATGTTCCAAAACATATATATGGTGTCGTTTATATTTATGAAAACGCCTTTAAATACCTACAAGAACTTTTTTCCTATGTGGTCTAGTTTTCGAGATGCGGAGGACATATATTTATTTTCTACCAAAAGACATCACTTTGATCCCTTATTTTTGTTGGTTTTTGTCATAGTCATAAAAAAGAAAGATAGGAATTTAAAATTTTGGAAATTTATTATATCCTCCCCCCTATCTAATTAGTATATGAACTTAGGAGGACTTACAAAACTTAATTCGTCAAATAAAAGTCATTTTTTATTCACTCTATTGAAAATGCTTTCGGTGAATACTTTTAATAGATTTCTATGATTAATTTATTTAATTACGTTTAATTAAAACTTGTTAGAAATAAGAAATTTTCCTGGCATCGCATTAAAAAAGAAACGCATTAAAAACCAAGCATGCATACGTGACCTTGCAGATAGCTAATATGACAGATGTAAAATTTTTAGAAATAATTCTTTTTCATATAAATTGAAAATGAATTATTTTTAGAAACAAACTTTCTAGATTTCACCACATACAACAACCAATACTCGTTCATCAATCAGTCGTATATTTAAATTTATTTATTTATTTTTTTTGCATATATTTTTCTTATCATGTGCATCAGCACCACAATATTTTCAAGTGATTGATGATTGGTACAGTAAGGCCAGCAGCAGCTGCCAGAAAGAACGGTTTATTGCGAATAATTTACATTTTTCCTCAAAATGTTTATTTAAATTTCAAAAAAAAATGTACATCGAATAAAATTATTTCATTTGCTTTTGCTAAAATTTTCCAAATTGATTTTATTACGAATTAAACCAATTGGGCCTTTATTGTCGATATAAACATTTCATGTTGCTTTCATTTCGCTCATATTTTCAAAACATTTGCTTCTTTAAAATTTATGGTTGAAAGATTTTTTGCATAGCTTATTATTATTATTAACAACAACAACAGCAACAACAACAATAAAATCCATTAAAATAATCTAAAAAAAGAAATGTGCTTAAAGCATGAATAAATAAAGTGCTCCTATACATACGAGTGCTTTTCTATCTACTTAAGTTAGTGGTCATTATGTGTTGGCGCCTACGGTAGATTTGCTTGTTTATTTAACTGTCTAAAGATCTTAAAAAGAAACGAACATTTTATGCCTGCTTCACTCATTTCACTCGAGAGTCTTTTCAAGCGACTTAAGACGAGTTTTTTTTTACTGTTAGTACGTTTTGTTTGTGAAAAACGAAAACCAGATGATCTTTTATTGACCATAAATGAATCGAGGACATCTTAGAAAAACATTTATCGCCTGTGTTACATCCAAACTCTTTTACGAACATTTATATGTTTATTTACTTTAAACTTACGAGATATAAAAGGAAGGAGGAGAGCTATAGCTACAAGACATTTAAGCCTCTAAGAAAATATTGTTAATTAATAGGTACTCTTTTACTTGTCAGGCCAAGGCAAACAAGTGGAATGCCTCATATGGGAGTCTTTTATTATTTAGCCTGGGATATAAGAAGACTACTTTCACTAGTTCAACACTTCATCAGCAGACCGAATAAGAGGGCAGTGAATAAAATGTACTTAAGACATCGCATTTAGTATGAGTTGAAGAGAGAAAGCAACGCATCGCTTGCTAGTAAAAACTTATACGAGATTTTGCGAAGTGAAATTGCAAATGCTCGGACCTGTCAAATATGGTTTGTCTAATTTCATTCGCGAAAACTACAGTCTCAAAGAAAATCGTCGTTCTGATCGGCCCATATCTCAATCATTTTGCAATTGCAAAGGGACCCGGCATCCACCATTCCACTATAGAGGATCATACCAAACATCGTCAAATTTGAATACTTTATTTAAAATATTATAGAACTTTACCAACAACATGGTTGGTATGGTTGGTTGCTTAGAAATACTTGAGAATATTTACTAAGGTAAATAAATTTAAATATGGTTTAAAAGTGCGGCCTGCTTCTCTTCTAAAAAAAAAAGAGAAATTCTTATACACTAGGCATGAAGCGCAGTTTATTGTGACATCGGAAACGATGAAAGACTACATGCGTTAATGCACGATAAATGACGGACAGTCTTTAATCAGCATACATAACATGATTAACATGATTCTTTGAAAAAACGCAATACTGTTACTACATGTTTTTATCTGTATACCAACGTGTTCAAAAATTATAAGGTATTTATTTTCAAATATCAATATAAATTTTTTTCTAGAATCATTAACACATGCCTCTGAAATTTCATATCATTCGATTTGCAAGTTGATAGGTTAGCGCCTTTTGGGTGACAGTTCAAAATTATTATCAATGAATTATTAAACTTGACTGCCTTGCAGGGAGTAACCGGCGAAAGCTTTTTAAAGCGTTCAGTGTGCGAGTAGTGCGCGCCTTAATGTCAAAATTCCCACCGACTTATTAAGTTTAGTGTATTATATGAACTTTTCACCTTTGCACGCGATTTAGAGATTATGTCCTGATCCTTAGGTGAATTCAGTCTATTGCTTACGGGTGAAAAAGTGCACGCTTTCGCGTTGTCAGCAAGAAAAGCTACTGGCAATTTGCAGAGATTGCATAGCAAAAAGTTTTAAGAAAAGCAAGAGAAAGCAAGCAAAAACACAATAATAGAGCAAGAACTTCCATTAAATACCCTACAACACCGTATAAAGACTCTTCGACATAAAGCGTTATAGGTAAAGTAATCGAAAAAGCTGTCTCATCCGAACCATTTTTGACATCGTTCGTCCTTGGAACAAAATGCGTCAGTGTACCATATTGTATCAAAATATCTGAAAAATTTGTGTTCCGCAAATTAAACAAATGTACACAAGACGGACAGACAATCTTATATGGAGCTATCGGCCTATCTCAAGTCCTGTCAGATGTTGCATACATCCACACAAATTTAATATACCACATGTGGTCAAGGATATAATAACAAGGGCAGAAAAAGTAGAAGAATTATTCGATTTCTCCCTAGCAGGGCAAGAAAGAAAAAAACACAAAATATTGTATAAGAAAAAGAAACTTTTAAGAAAGAAAGCGACCATCGCTTCCAAGCCTTTGTAAATTAGATGAATTTATTGAAAAATATGATGAATAAATAAACAGTGACTCTTGAAGGGGCAAAGTGGTTTTAGATCAGCGTGAAAGTACAAAACGATTTAGTTATGTTCGCTTGGAGTCCTTTGTTGCATCTCTCACGTTTCGAAAACCTGAAATGCAATGCTCCAACTTAACGTTTATGCATATATGCGCATATACGTACATGTCCCCGATTGGTTTATTTAAAAAAATATTAATTTTCTTTCTTATGCATTTTTTTTTCATTTTTCTTCTTTTTTGTTTCATATATTAACGTCAACTAACCGACTGTGACAGGCAACATGAAAGCTTATGTCATAAATATGTGTTGCATGTGTCTCAGTTACTAGAGCAATAAAGAATCGCAAACCAAAAAAAAAAAAAAAGAATAAATAAATAAATACATAAAAATAAAAAAAGTAAATAAATAAATAAGAAAATAAAAACAAGTACAATGCCGGTGGGTGATTAAAATAAAAAAAAAACGTTGCTGCTAACATGGAAACAAAAAAAAATAAATAAATAAATTGTTGTCGTTGATCAGTTTTAATTGTTTTATTTTTTTATTTTAGCACGAAAATTAAGAGCAGACAACAAATTAGTTAACACCGGCGCCTCAACCAACTGTCATCAAAGTAATTTATTTATTCAATATATAAGTTACAACAAGTGTATGAATTATATGTGCGCGTGTGTAAATACTCGTAAAATAGCCTCTGTAAAAGTATAACTCGGCTCTAATTGTGGTTGCACAGATTGATTCGAGATAAAATTGATTTTATTTATACAACTAATTAGTTACGTTGTTACTCTCTCCGCTATTACTCACCTGTTTGCTTTGGTATGTTATAGAAATCTAATACTTTGATTTCCGATGTTTCCACATGCGGTGCGAAACCCTCATACAAGTCACTCTCCTCCTCAATACCACTCAACTTGTCCGCTTGAGCTGAAGCCGTATCACGATTATGCGGCATATTTTTATATATATATATATATATTTTTTTTTTTTTTTACTTTTCTCGTTGTGTTTAATATAAATCTGACTAGATTCTTCGATTATCGCGCGTTCGATTCAATTTAGAGCAATTTTTTTACTTTTCTCACGTCTTTAGTTCAATAAAACGAAATTTTTTTAGCGTTTTTTCTTTGATAAATTTATGGAGATAAAAACACTCCAATACGATGATGCTTAGCTGAATTCATTATTCTGTTCACTCGCTTCTATGTTACGACTACGAAAAACATCACATACAAGGTGAGCGAGAGCTGGTGGTGATATATTGTGAGAAAATCTGAAAGATAAGCAGATAATTAAGCTTTAATGAACTTTTTTTATTTAATTAAAAATAAAAAACATTTTAGTAAATTTAAAAATTTATTTGTAAAATTTTATTTATTTGCACAAAAAAAAAAAAACAGTTCGAAAAGCCTTCAAAAAAAAAAAAGCACTATCTTAAAACGTGTATTGACTCTGAAGGATCGCAATAGTCAATAACTTCTTGAGTAACATAACATCACCAATGATCCAAGTCTTTGAAAAGGTCAGAGCACAAAAATTTGCTATCTTTGTAAGGAAGTTTTTTAGTATTGTTGATATATGCGGTATACACAAGGGTTGTTTTTTTTTGCTTTGGGAGCTGATGTGTGTGAAGGGATTTAGGTAAGTTGCTGTGACCTACGGAGGTGTCTCCTGCAGTTCGAGAATAAACACATGGTCATGGCATGACTTTCTCTGTTACAGGCCACAATCTAAGACCTTATATATGTAATGCTCCCTCATTTTTCGGGGGCAACCTCAGCTACCACGAAACTCTCCGAAGAGCCGTTCACAGCAATCAGCAGATTCTGCAAGAATTGTAGCCAGTATTTTCGATATGGAAACAATTATTGATATACTTGGTCAATTACCAACGACTTGTATTATAATATTAGTTTGGGGAAAAAGAAATCCATTATTTTTTCGGTAGATGGCTGCACTGGTAGATTTCTCGTAAAGTATCGATCAAACAATTTCCGATACTGTACATTTACATACTGTACATTTCGCAGTAAAAAAAATTCTTTTGCTGTTTTTTGTTTAGTGCATTCAGTTGTGAGTTACAGCGTGTTAAAAATGGAAGTGAACAAAGAGAAAATTCGGTACATTTTACAGTTTTTCTTTGACAAAGGCGAAAATGCAAGCCAGGCGGCTAAAATTGTGAATGGTGTTTATGGTTCCGATACTGTAACAGCCAATTATGTGCAATTTTGGCTTCGTAGATTCCGTTCAGGAATTTTTGATGTTAAAGATGCACCTCGCACAGGAAGGCCGGTCGTCGCAAATGTCGATAAAATCGGAGAAATGATCGAAGTTGACCGGCATGTTAGCAGTCGTAACATCGCCCAGGAGCTAAAAATCGACCATAAAACAGTTTTAAACCATTTTCACAAAGCTGGATTCAAAGAGAAGCTCGATGTTTGGGTGCCACACCAATTAACAGAAAAAAACATGATGGATCGAATTTCCATCTGCGAAGCCTTGGCCAAACGGAATGAGATAGAACCATTTCTTAAACGGATGGTGACTGGAGATGAGAAAGGGATCACATACAATAACCCTGTGCGAAAACGATCGTGGTCAAAGAGCGGTGAAGCACCTCAAACGGCCAGGAAGGTTTTGCTATGCATTTGGTGGGACTGGAAGGGGATTATTTATTATGAGTTGCTTCCAAATGGCCAAACGCTAAATTCTGATCTCTACTGGCAACAACTGGACCGTTTGAAAATAGCGATTGACCATAAACGGCCAGAATTGGCCAACAGGAGAGGTGTCGTGTTCCACCAGGACAACGCTAGGCCACACATCTACAGTGACTCGCCAGAAACTTCGGGAGCTTGGTTGGGAAGTTTTAATGCATCCGCCATACAGTCCGCACCAAGCGATTGTCATCTTTTTCTTGCATTGCAAAATTTCTTTAATGATAAAAAATTGCAAATAGAGGCCAGGACTTCTATGAGAGAGGCATTTTGAAGTAACCTTTAAAATGGCAACAAATCATACAACAAAACGGTGCATATTTGACCCAAATCGGACAATCCGAAGCATGTTAAATAAAGTCCTGAAGTTCATATAAAAATAATGGATTCCTTTTTCCCCAAACTAATATATGAAATATAAAAATTTTAAGCTCTTGATTATTATTTTATTTTTTTTTTTTGTTTTTCACAAAGTGACGTATAAAACTAACATTTATTATTAAGTCCATTCTTTCTGGTTTTAAAAAAAGAAAAATAAATCAGCTCTCTTAAAATGTAGTCTGAAAATCATTTTAGGTTAGGCCTAATCTATTACTCTCTCACTGGTAGTATATAGTACCTAATATAGTAGTAACTGCTATTATCATTGTCAAATTAAATTTTCTTTCATTCTATCCCAACAAATGATATTATATAGAAGACTTCCCACTCGAGCCTAGATCAGTGTGTGGAAAGCAAATCAGTTACACTTCAGATAACTTACATAACATTCGACAGTATGGTTATTTAGAAGCAAGCGCCAAAAACTTCGAGTATCAGTCGATTCACTCAAAGTCGACATTGAGCAGACAATTTTCACAGCAAGAACGATTGAAAGTTAATTTCAGTGAACGAATCCACAACGTAAAATAAATCTAATTTCCCTAATCGCTTTTTTTTAAAGAATCAGCTACATTTAGTTACTTTGCGGAATGTTGGACTTTCATATTGCAATCTTGGCTGCACGAGATATATAACTTTTGTAGAGCGTCAGGTGCTCTGAAATATTATCATATATTACCATCAATTGTCAAAATATGTGCAGAATTCAACGTCAAATTCTGAATCGATTTTGTCCGTCCATAGAAGGCATATGGTTGATTTTTTGCTGGTCGCAAAAATGAAGCTATTGGCTTGAAATTTAACAGAAACATTGGAAATTATTACAGGTGGGTTGATATTGACAATTCGTAAACACGGTCCCAGTACAATACAAAGGCAAAAGATTTCCATTTTCATGATAGCAAATGTGGGTTTCATAGTTGAAAATAGATATAAGCATGAAAATTTTATTAAAAAGACGATCGCACAATGCCTGCGCAAAAATGGAAAAAGTCACCCACATCCACTCTATTTGACAAGAAAGCTTGATTTTTTTTTTTCTCTTCTTTTGTGGAAAAATTTATTAGGTGTAGAAAATTCGGCTAGAGACGAAGCTAATTTCCTTAATTGTTGATTGTAATCCCTTCATAAAATCTAATTACAAGCAACTTGAGAAGAATCTTCGCACGCAGTCAGTTTATAATAGGCGATGTTATTAAGATAACTATAAATTTTTATAGAATGGACACTTCTCTTCTTCTTCTACTATTTGCATTCTATAAAGACCGTCGTTGTAACTTCTTTCACTCTGTTCTGCGAGGTAGTACAAATATGTCGAATAAGATTTTTATTATTTATGCAATCATTTCTCATAAAACTTTCTAGAAGCCCTCAACCTCTTCTCCTCTTTAGAAGGGAATGATAGACAATTAGGTTATTAAGGAAAAATGGCAGTTAAAAAGTTTAGTATCTATAAAAAAAAAAGATAAGAAGTTTACATTCATTTTTACACACGCTTTCTGGGACAAGTAATAATCGTAAAAATATAACTTTTGTTAAAGACTGGTGGGGGATATCTTCGCCCCGAATACTTAGATGCGCTCAATAAAAGTTTACATCAAAATTTAGATAAATATTTCCTAAAAATTAGAAGTTTTCTGTTTTCAAGCTACTTTTCTGATCCTCGGCTGTCGCAGCTGAGCTATTTTCAAGCTTCATTTGTGGATGTCTGTCCTACACTTTCACTTTTGATATTAATTTTTGTGAGCATGAGTTCTCGAACAGTGGAGAATAAATGGTTATTGAAAGAAGCTCAAAAGCAACGATTCCAAATCCTATCCCCCAATCACAATGCACATAATAACTTCAACCCTTTCGCTCCTCTTTGATGGTGAGAAGCATTTTAATGGTTTGCCCGCAACTAAAGCAATAATCATGGTTTTCCCCAGAGACTCTTGTTGTCGTGATAGTTATGGTTGTAAATGAAAATCGCGATAAAATTCTCCCTCCATTGACATGACAATCTTCTATATGAACTTTACGTTCAAACAAACGCCCACAAAGGTTAAATGGATACAAAAAAAAAAAAAATGTACGTTTCATACATCAGCACGATATGAAAATGCAATCATGCAAAAGTAAAATATAAATAGCTTATGTAGTCGGAGACTCTTTCAAAGTCACAATGACAGCAAAAGAAAATACCTAACTACATACACGCACACATTGCACTTAACCTATTTTATTTAACATTTGACATCGATGAACTGGCTTGAATGCGGTTACTGTTTAAAAGAAAAGACTGACAGATAGAAGGGCGATGAGTATAATAAACAGTTATTAGTTGCTTACTTTGTGATTAATAATGTACATAATAAAAAGCAGCAGAGAAAGCTTAGCGTAGCGTCTGTCATGAGGAAGCAATCATTCATCTCTATTAAATAAAGGCATCGTCTTTGCCATTATTGCTGATACGGCTAATTATTCTGTAACGTACCTTACAATTTAATAACATGCATCAATTAACATCAAGTTACCGGCATTTTTTTCATAACAATAAATTAATAAATTTTTACGATGACTGGGAAATAATTCAAACAAATGTCATAATAATAGTGATGACGACTGCACAAAGTCGACAATATTCAATCGCTAAACCCGTGACACATTCATCAATATTCTCTCAATTAATGTTGACAACAATTTAATTACAATACAATTCAGAAAGTGACGGAAAATTCAATCGTTAAATGGCGTTAAAAAAAAAAAAAAATTCATTCAATCAATTGCAATTCAATTAATTTAGTTTACACATTATTATGTGGGGCATCAAATGAGTCTTTTCCTTTTTGAAACGTCGTATTGTCCATGTTTTTTTTTTTTTTTTGAAAAATTTTTTACCGAAATTCACATTTGTATTGTTGAGTATTGTTTGCCAAATCACCAGGCAAGACTACACAATTGTACGACATACAGGATTTGTTAAAATTCATTACAAAAATAATGAATCTATTCAGGCTATGCGGAGAAGAGAAAGCCTACCTCCTATTCCAAAAAGACCTTCGAGTGCACAAAAATTAACTTTTGAGTGTGGCTTGTGGGTTGGATACGTCACATCTGAAAATAAAAACAGGGAACGTCACAGAAACATGGTTGCTGGTTTTAGTAGATGACATCAATTTGGACGATATGTGCT